AAATAATATTAATAGAATTATTTTCTAGAATATAATTAGATCTTAGTTAATATCATAAATTAAAATATTTCTATCAAAGTGCTTTTCTTATCAAAGTAACGAATAAACATAAATACAATTAAAGAATAGAGAAATGTGTTGTATAGAAAATTATCATATATTAATGTAATATTTATTCATTAGTGTTTCATATAATACATGTAAGTTATAAGTAAAACACTAAAGAATACGATTTCAATATGCAGTGCATTGTATATCAACAGAATATATAATCCACAGAACTTTATATTTCCCAAAACAATTTGAGAGAATAATCATAAAAATAATAATATTTTTCTAAAGGAAGTTAATCATATGAATTGTCATATGCTATACGGAATCCTTTAATCAACAAATTTTTGACATACTTTTATTATATAAAAGTGGTAATAAAAATAATACTAGAGTTTAAATTAAATTTACTAAAATTAAAAATAATTACACACAATTAGTCTATATTTAATCACCAAAACAACATCTAATCTATGGCTAAACATAATGATAACATAAATTAAATAATGTAATTATTGTATTAGAGTAGCACAAGAGTTATGCATACCTTCTCTAATCTCTCCCATCATTGTAAGGCTTGGATGTATTTTTTGAATGTATGCGCCAATCATATTACTCCCCGGTATCTCTTGGCCGCCGATCACTTTTAAACCAAGTCCATTACCTAATGGTGTGGTTAATAAATTATATTGCAATTAATTGTTTGCGTTTTAAATAATATTTTAACATTAAAACTAGACATTAAGTTAACAATACAAACGGTAAGTGAGAAAATAAATGATACAAAAATGAACGAAAAATGAATGAAAAATACCGGACACTCAATACTATAAGAAACATTGATTGTCACAAAAGACTAGAGAGAAAGTGAGAGACTAATGGAGGAGACTATGAAATAAATAAATAAATTGTAATAAACAGATAGTGAGAAAAATTATGTAATATATGTAATAATACAATACAAACGACTAAAGACAAAAATTGAGAGACAAATGTAGTAAAGAAACTAATAATCTATATATTATAAAATACAATTAACATGTGCTCTCAATTGTATTGTCATTTACACAGTGAATGTATGTAATATATACAGTATATCTAAAATGTTTAGTGGATTCTTGTATCTAATTCTTGTATATTTTGATGGTTTGATTTGATTGATTTGGTTTTTATTTGATTTAGTTGTTGTAATGAGTGGTTGTGTTTCATTTGATAAGACACTTACCACTAACTGACCGTATCTTTGGATCTTGAGTGAGAAGTATTCGTTTTACTGGAAACGGGTATTTGGGATATTTCGTTGTGTTCGGTGCGAACTGAAACATATGAATGAAGAGAGTAGTGGTCGGGCAGAGAGTACACCCGCAACGGGTGGTGACGCGCCCCCACATGTGGGAAATGTTAGATTTAGATTTAAGTTATTTATTATAGTTAGTGAATGATGGTAGTAGCAGTTTTGGCAGTCTCAATTTGTTTGCTTATTATGTGTGTGTTTTTATGTTAAATTTAGTTATATTAGTCTCTATTATCATATCTCATATATTGTCTATTTTGTGACCATAATGAAAATCATAATAAATCATAATATCACTCGTTATTATATAACTATAGCGTAATTAATATAGTTAATTTATATTTGTCAAAAAAGTAATTAGTTATTAAATATTAAAAAATAAAAATGCAAATCATTAAAGCATTATAATTAAAGTCAAACAATCTTATAATATTATATAAGTTATAGTTATAATTCTTATAAAAATAATGCATATTCTGTAAAATTTTTTGTTGCTTTTAGTTATATAAGAAATGTTGTGCTTTTATTAAGCAAACGAATGGCAGACATGAGTTGTCTTACTTGCGTTTTCTTCGGCGACCCTCTCATCATATTGTGGTCTAAATATGCCGACCGATGACCTATGGATACAATACATCGAAAACACATACTTTAATATACCGTATATTTTCATGACATGTGTTGCAAAAATAGAAAGAAATTAATTTGCATTTCGTTTATTGCCATTAAATAAAGAGTGCATTAATGGCCGTAAGATTTATATCAAAGTAAGTGTTAAAACAAAATTAGGAGTTATTGTTTTCAATACATTAATAATGAATGGCATTTGTGTTAATGATTCAATGCATACCTCCTCCTCCTCCGCCTCCCGGCCCTCCCATAATGGAAGTGCTGCCCAGATCTTCAAGTAATTTACGAGATCTCGTGGGCATATCGGGCAGTATAGGCATCGCTGGTGTGGTGAGCATAGAGTCCATGTATTCGCTGGGAGTGTCCGACTCCGTGGCCGACAACAGTGAGCCGACGTCCGGGTGAGCGAAGTTGGGGCGCCGGAGAAGCGCCGCATCCCTTTGGTTGACGTTACGATTCTGGCGGTAAACGCCACTCGTGTTCACATTCGCCAAACGCATGTCCGCCGCCAACCGCGGGTCACTCACTTGTCTCGGGTCACCCACTAGTCGGGGATCGTGTCTGGGGTCGAGTCGGGGGTCGTGTCTAAGATCGAGTCGGGGGTCATGTCTGGGCTCGAGTCGAGGATCGTGTCGGGGGTCGTGTCGGGGGTCGTGTCGCTGATCGTAATTCTGGTAGCTATAGGGGTCGGGTCTATTCGGCCCAAACATACAATCCATTTTAGATTAAATGATTACAATTTATGCCAAAAATATAATACTGAATATTTTAATAAAAAGTCAATTATAATCGACATTTTCAACAAAATTATCTTCAAAACAAAAGTTCAATTTCCAAACAGAAAATAGATAAACAGATAAAGAGATTATCAATATATTAATGGAAAAAATCTAATTACTTTTACTCAATAGAGAAACTATAGTACAGTATATCTGCAATCGATAACAAGCAATAAAACTAAAGAAAGACTAATGAAAACAAATGCTGTTATAATACAGTGTATAATATAGTGGAAAAGAAAGCCTGATATCTCACCCATGCATTGAATGAAGCGATGGCTGCGAGTAATTAGTCCTAAGTCTTCCGTTATAGTAATCTTTAGGCAATTGGTGTACATTTGGACCGTAATTGTAATAGTCGTCTATAAGAGCACTTTGGCCGTAGATATCGTCCATCTGTCGGTCGTACGGATTAACTGATCCGTCAAATGAATGCCTGTACAGGCGGTCAGAGCCGGCCATCTGTTGCCGGCGGCGCTTAATCTCGGCCCTGACTTTGGCCGCCTTCTCCTCGCGGGTCAAGTGGTCGTCGGCCTCGTCTTCGGACACATAGGGGGACGCATTCCAAGAGCGGGTCCCACCTCTGGAGCCGCCCAATCGCCGCCTCTTCTGTGTCAAGTCGTCGTAATAATACTTTGACGAACTCCTGCCGTACGGATCCAATCCGTACCCGAATCGGGACATCATTTCGGCCGACCCTTCGCTTCGTCGCCGCACTCTTTGACTTAACTGTAGGCAGAGTTTAGGCATTATTTTGTTATGTATTTTATGTTTACTTTGTTTAAATAGCAAATTAAATGCTTACCATATTTGCCGCTAAATACAGATTGTTGTCATTAGTGTCCATCATATTAGGTATGACTGACTCCCGGAGTCCGTAATCAGTGTCAGAGTACGTGCCCAACGAAGACATGGCTCTCTGGCCTCTATAGTTGAGTTCAATGCCAGTACTCGTCGGGTGCAGTGACTCGTACTCATACGACTTGAACGGCATGTCGTCTCTGGTGGCCGAAAGTGAACGATAGATACGAGAATCGGAT